CCGCGCTGACGACCACCTGCATCTTCTTCAACTCTGCCTTCTCCTGCGAAATACTTGTGGAAGAAGTTCGCCGCTTCTTGAGCATGGGCTGCCTACTTGCGCGACGTGTGCATGCCCAGTTTAACTCCCACACCAAGTGATGACGTGGATGTCACGTTTGGCAGCCAATCTTTCAATAGGGAGTTTCGACTCCCACGAATACAAACCTCAACCACCTCTGATTAGCTGACTAGCTTCGCCGGAATGCTCGAGCTTTAAGCACTGGCCTATCCCAACATGAACATGTATCACCGTTTGCCCGGAAGAACCTACAAAGGCTGCGATGAGGCATTTTTCTACGATGCTTTTGGTTTGTCACAGGCTTTTGCCAGTCATGCCTGCCCTTGGTGATTGCAGTTGTCGTTGTCGTGCCGATGTCTGGACTTGTGTTTGGTCATCATTGCTGTCGCCAGGTGATTTCTTCGAAGGCCGGGAACCAGGTAAATGATGCAAGCGACTGAATGATAAGCTCGTCCTAAGCTCAGAGATTGCTGCGCGCCCAGTGGCCAAATTGCCAAGAAAACGAAAGGCGAGTAACCATGCGAAGCGACAAACGGACAATCAACGGTAGCAAGAAACTGATAACAACCTGTTACGAAGAACCCATAATTGGGGATGGATGCAGCTCGTTATTTCGAAGTTGAGGGCTACCTTTTTCATTCGATAATCCCCGATCCCTGATCGCACAACCCTCCAAGTTTAGAACAGAAAACACAAGAAGACATGTAGCTGTTTTTCTCAGCCCTCTCCAACGTACCTCTGGGGCCATGCCTGCGACCACTGACCCGGCTAAAGAGGCCGCCACTGAGCCCACCTGCAGGCATGAGCACTTGGGAACCGGGACTATACGGTTGTTTGCCGCTCTGACGTCATGATCATGCTGGCTTTCCGCCTGCTATGTACATCATTCACATGGATGTGTGGTCTACAGGAGTCGAGAAGGCACATCACGAAACATATATATGTATATATATTTATAGATAGCATCTATATACATATATATATATATATATGTATATACATATGCATGTATATGTATGTATGTGTATATATATATATATACATAATCTACGCAAATTTACGTATGTACGTTAATATACACACATATACTCATGTGACCTCTATATACTTCTGTACATATGTGGGTTATGGAATCTGCACAGAGTGATGCGCTTCTCTGCGATGTGTTGGTTACAGTGCTTGTCAGGCCTTGAATGTCTATCCTCTATCGCATAGCACTGTGTCTTAGACATGGGTTACCGTGTGGCATTGCGAGAGCTCAAATTTCGGGCTTTTGCATTCTCACGGCCCTGAAGTTTTGTACGGCCTTGGGATGCCCTCTGAAACTCCAGTTTAGTCACAGTCAAGAACTCCATGCTGTCCCTTCATTTGTGGGCTTCTGAAGTTCAATGTTTTGTACCAGCACGACATTTGAGGCAAAGCCATGAAGCAGAGTGCTCTTCAGCATTTGGGACAACACAGCATTTTTGAATTCCAGAGCCTTCAAGCATGTAGTTTGTTCTTGTGTCACTGATGATGCCAGTATTTACGGACGGAAGCCAAGGTAGCTGACACCTGACTAGCGGAAATCGGAGGAGATGTCTGTCTTGCCAATGAAAAATCGCTGATCTCTGCTAGTGTTGACTAAGAAACACAAAAGCTTGCATACTTCGTGTTCAGGGGAAGAATAAAGGAGCTCTCGGGGTATCTTCAAACAGCATATTTCCCGCTGAATGATACACAACAGAATGCCACAGAGCGCCTGCAAACATCGAGAAAGCTCTCATAGGAGAGGAGAGCTTTCTATCCGATTCTAACTCGCAATGAGAGCATGGCAGCTTATCTTTCTCTGCATCAAGACGCAGCAAAGCGACAACTTTTAAATTAGGAGCAAGGAAACTCCCATGTGACAGATGCAGATGCCCAGGCAAATGAGGCAGCTCTTCACTCTCGCCTTCCCGAAAGATGTGGGCCAACTCCCTTGTTACTCGCTGCTTACCATTTGTCCAAACGTTTGTGCACACTGACACAAGGTCCCTGAATTTATATGAAGTTGCACGGCCGGGCTTTCGTGGCCTTGTATGAGTTTGTTTCTAGGGCTTACAGGATCGATCAGAGCAGCTTCTCGGTCTCCCGAAGCAAGGAGTTTTCCTGTTGTCCCATCAGGCATTAGAAGTTTTCATCTTGTCTAGCATATAACGATATAGAATGTATTCTCTTGTGCTTTGCCACGCTGTAGAGAGCTCGCCGTTTAAACATGGAGAAGTCTGCCGAAATCAGGGTCAGAACTGGAATTTGGGGGGCGAGCTGTATGGCATGCATATGTGTATATAAATACATTAATATGTACATGTAAATGTATATGTATATGTATACGTATGTGTATGTGTATGTGTTCGTAAACGTGTATGTTTATGTGTGTAGTGTATGCATCTGTATATGCATGTGAGCACGATTACGTATATAGATATGTATACAGACATGTATATAGATAGATATATGTAAGTAGATCTGTATATAGATATGTATATAGATACGCAAACAGATATGTATATGATCATTTATATGTATCTCTTGGTTGCCTGCCTGCCTGCCTGCGTGCTTGCTCGCTTGCTTGCTTGCGGTATGCCCCGCTCCCTCCGGCCCCTTTGGATTTCCCGCCCACACAACTCGGCCCCCATTTTGGAGATGTGCAGTCTCCGTTCCCTGTGACCGCAGGAAGGACCGACACTGCTAAAAAAATGCGACCAGAACACCTGTTGCAATCCCATTCGGGTCATACGGCCTGCTAGCGAGCCGGACTGCGTGGCTCAAGCAGTCGGCGGCATGTGTGTGTGTATATATATATATATACATACACATATATACATACATATATATATATATATACATAAGTATACACATATATGTATATACACACATATATATATATATACACGTACACATGTATATATATACCCAGAGGCTCCGACCGTGTCCAATGGACGGCGTTCAATGCAACTTTGTGGTTTGTTGAGAACAGCCTCGTTTGTATATATACAACCACAGCAGATTCCTGTGTACCGAGCAACGCCCGTCTGGCTGCAGAACCGGCCATGGACCGTAAAAAAACTATCGGGTGGCAAAAAAACCCTAAACTTAGAAGCCCTAAAGTTCCAATTGTTTTCAAGAGTACCCCAAATCCTAAAGGTCCTAAAGCAAAAACCCTCCTGAACCTTAAAATGCAAATGCTTAACCTTACAAACCCCGAGCCCAAAGCAGTTCTTCGAAGCCCCCGAAAAACTAAGCTAAGGTACCCGAACGCCCCGGGGGACTGCTGTTCTGTGGACCTGCATTGCCAGGTATACTGGGTTCGCTACATATAAAGAAACTATAGTGCATACCTGGCAATCCAGGCCCGCAGACCATCAGTCCCCAGCCCAGGAGCAGAGTCGCCAGCGATGGCACAGCTTATGGCAAGAACCAATCGCAAACACAAGCCCTTGAATCTTATGTAAGCCAAGCAACTTTAAAGTTGGCCTACAAACCTCATCAAAGAAGCTCCGTTTCCTTTCCGAATATAAGCCGACTGCTCACTCTGAGCCGTGGGGTCTGTAGGAACACGGCAGCAACCTAGCAGTGTCCGTCCTTTTCGAAACACGTATAGGGCCCGCAGCCCAGGTTTAGAGAAATGGCGAACATTCACTCGTAATGCAGTAATGCGGTCCCGCTTGCACTTGCAGGTGTCAGGAACATTTTGTTGCAGCCATTTTGGCATGAGGCACTTGCCGAAGGAACGTGCGGAACGCTACTGTTGAAGGTCAGTGTTGCGCTGACAAGTGTCTTTGGAAGGTTGAATCCTTGACCCTAAACCCTATAAACCCTAAACCCTAAAGTGTTCAGAGATCGTGCTCTCGGTCGGGTAGAGCAGAGATCAGAATGATGATCATCGATCGACTCCAAGACCTCTTACCTGAATAGAAGGAATGACGAAGTATGTTAGGGCTTCGATTGTAAGGTTCTTCGCTACAAGTAAACAGTTTGGGGGTCGCAGGTGGGGTTTGCTGCGCTTTCATGAGCCCGTGCCTCTGTGCGGTAATGCGCCGCTCTTGACCGAACGTCGCGCAACACTGACTCCGCCAGAGACCAAGAAATCCCAGGCTTTATTCCAGGCATTGTAGAGCAAGCGAGTGCATGTGAGGGGGAGTGTTTTCTGCCAGGGCAAGTGTCTTGAACTACGGCAGCTACTGGCCGGGGATTCTGTCCTATACATAATGAGTCAACGAAACAGAAGCTCCAAACCCTTAACCCCCTGTTTTCATTCTGATTGCACAGGCTGAGCCAGATCATCATTTTTTCGGGACGTTGACTGGGGGAGGCCGGGAGTGTCGCTGCAGTGACTGCAGTGCTTGCACGCTTGTTCTTCTTTTTTTGCAGTGTGCAGTCTGAAACACTTCCAGGAAATCGCCACATGTGCCTGCAGACACCATAACATGTCGCAGCATTTTGCTTTTGCACTTTCTAGCAGTGTTTGTGTTGTCTTGCGGTCAGCGATGGCCCTGATGCCTTATATGAACGGGGTTGAACCAGAGCGTCCATTCGGGCGCCGTGAAGCGGGCGACTGGCGCTCCGTTCGTGGGCCCCTGAGTTTTTTCCATGTTGTCGAAAACATCGGAAAAGTCAGGGTTTTGAAAACACAGGCCCCGGAAGGGTGGACTGGAAGGAAGCAGACGTGGCGACTTGGCGAACAGCGCTTGCAGCGGTAGATGCCACATAGCGCACACACGGACCCGCAGCTCCTTCGCTTAAATTCTGAGGCCAAGATTGCGAAAGCGCTCGTGAACTCCCTCCCGGTGCCAGCGCTGAACGTTATCATGGATGAGAACTGGAAGGGTGGCCCGCTAGTTCACGTTTCAAGTGAGATCAGCCGCCCCACGAGCGGCGATGTGGCCAAGAATTACCACATCCTGAAGCCGATAGTGATGGGATGCCCCGACCGCGCATCTCAACTCACATGTTTATTTAGCTTCAAGCGGAACGCCAACAGCAAAACCAAAAAATATATATAATATCCATTTTCAACCTCTCAGGTTCCATCCGGCTTTTTCCTGACGGACGTGCTGCTCTACGCCGATGACATCTTGGAACGGAAGCTCTTGAAAGGCCACGTGGGTGACCTCAGAGTCGAGTTTGCCTCGAGGGAGGCCGTCAAGCTCAAGGGCTTGATCGGCGCTTTGCGCTACCTCTGGCGCAGTTCGCCGCGCGGACTTCATGCCCGCGTCACTGAGCTAAAGCTTCTCTTGAAGACCGACCCTCGCCGTGCTCGACAGGCAGAGGCTTGGTGTGGGCTAGGGTTTCGGGTGACTGGTGGGTGGCTTGGACCATGAATGCCGGATTGATTTGGGTCGCGAGCTTAGGCACCGGCTCTGGAGGACGCGAATGATGACGGGAACGATTCGGACGGTGACGCATGCAGCGAGAATGCAGAGTCCGAAGCCGAAGCCTCGACCGATGACGCAGACATGGGTGAAGCTCCACTTGCCGACCGTCCGGTCATCGAGGATGGGTTTAGGGCTTTCGGGTTGCAAAGGGGTCTAAGATTGGGTTAATTAGAAAGAGGGGTGTCAAATTATGGATCCATAGGGCCTGTAGAACACTGTAGAGCTTTGAGATGACGGGGTCCATAGGATGCCTTTCTCATGTCAGGAGCTGCCAGCGTTCCCAGTCACGGAGGACCTCCCGAGCCCGACTGGGGATGGGAGCTTGGATGGCTCCAGCGACGCAGCCTTGCCAAGCCCAGTGCCTGGAGACAGGAGCCCACCCTCGTGGAATCCAGTTCCCGGCGATGCAGAGAGTGTAGCCTCCTTCGAGCCGCCCTCCATCGAGGCAGACTTGCCAGACCCGAAGCGCGAGCTCTCCTTCGATCCGCCTTCGATTGTTCGCCGAAAGCATGGCGATGAGAGCCCACTCTCCATCGATGTGGACTCTGAAGCCGAAGCCTTGAAAGAAGCCAAAGCCTTGCAAGAAGGCGAGGACTCTGGAGCCGAAACCTTGAAAGAAGGCGCAGCTTTCAAGGTGCCAAAGTTCCCAGCTCCAGAGGGCGAAGACGAGTCGCTAGCCCTTGTGCTAGCCAGTGACGCTGGGAATCACGAGCCTGCTTCGGAGAGCGAGGACAGCGAAAAGACCCGGGTGCTTGGTTCGCACTTGGTTGGCGACGACAGCAGCAGTGAGGCTGCTGTTGAAGATACGAAACTCCAGAAGTTCCGCGAGAAGACTTTGGCCAGGGCGAAGAGAATTTCGAACGGGCATCCCTCTCACGCAAGGGTTTGTGGCTTTAGGGTTGAAGGTTTGCTTCGCGTGGGTTGGTGACGGTTGGTGATGTGCAACTTTGCACAAAGGCACGCGTTGAAGAACGAGTACCTTCGGCACTGCAGCAACATCATCAACAAGAATGGTTTGGACTCTGTGAAGATGGGCCTTGGCAAGGACAAGCACTTCCGCAAGTTCGTGGCGAGGATGGTTGTAAAGGACGATCCTCCAGTGCATCCCCGGGGTGCCAAGTCGGCAGCCTCGAGCTCCAGCGATCGCGCGCCCGAGCTGGATCTCTCTATGGCACTGGTTTGGGACTGAGATATCAGGAGTCAGCAGTCAGTAGTTAGATGCACGTGCTTGCACGCTTCATGCTTCCATCGTGGTTGCCGTGAGGCTGCCTTCGGAGACGACCCCACGTCAACCCATGACAAGAAGAAGAAGAAGCGAGCTGGCGAGTCTATGGACGCGAAGTGGACGAAGACGCCACTGTCCAAGCGCCCCAAGGGCGCTGGGTCAGTGGAGGAGATGCTCCGTGTTACGCCCTCCCCGCTGTCGCTTCCCAAGAAGGTGTTTTGTAATTCACGAAAGCTACATAGCACATTGTTGCTTGAGGTCGGTTTGGTTTCCCGTGCGTCATACTCTGCGTCCTTTGGAGGCGCGCAAGGAGTCCAAAGAGAAGGAGCAGGGACGCGAGGAAGCCCCGAAGATCAAGAAAGGCATGGATGCGCCCCGCGAAGAGGAGCCGAAGATCATCAAGAAGAAAGCCAGGGATGCGCCCCGCGAAGAGGAGCCAAAGATCAGCAAGAAGAAAGCCAGGGATGCCCGGCATGTTCCTGCAGGCGATGACGAGTCGAAGATGAGCAAGTTCCATCTCTTCAATTTGAAAGAGCTCAACATCCCGTCCGAGGCGTGGCCCAGCCGAGATGGCGTCTACAACGGCAGGTGGGGGTACACGGTCTGGTCCGATTCTGGGGCAGCTACTTGAATGTACATTGTCACAGTTTCAAGGAAACTAGTGGGTTATAGTTATAGTGGTTATAGGATAAACCCTACCTCAGCCCATATCCTAACCCTAAAGAGCTAAACAGTATTGGGACGGACGTCGTAGCAGTATACTCCTATTTGCAGGGGTCCTAGCTTACAACTTACACCCATACACACTACAGCTGTCATGAACTTCGACGTAAGTCTAGAAAGCTTGTAAGCTTGCTGGGGCGCAAACAAAGACGTGCCCACTCTGCTCAAAGCCTCGGAGCCGTAAGCTCAACACATTATCATGCTTCAAAGTCTACACGACTGACCCGCGAAACGCACTAATTCCTAGACCTATCCCCAAACCAGAGTCCCGCACCCTACTTTGAGAATAGGCAGAGGTCTAGGAAAGTAGATCACGTTAGTGAAGCACACAGGGGCTCTTGATACGCTGCTGTTTAACTTTTTTCTTTTTTTTTACAGTCTCTCCTATGGCCCTCTATGTAATCCGCAAGCCGCCTCATACAGTCGTTATGATTCAAATCTCGCGCAGCCATCCTGTGAATCTTCACAAGCCCATCCCCACGAGATAGAGTAAAACCTATCTTCATCCAGCTCAGGCGATCGAAGTGCTTCTTCGCACGAAAGCCTACGTTGTGAAACGTTTCGGAACGGAGGCGGAGTCCTCAGGCAGCCTGCGCAAAGGACAGGTTACATGGAGCTTGCACGATGGGCCCGTCGGTGCATGGAAAGTGGCTAAGAGTCGGGCGAACTGGTGAAGTTGCACTGTGTAGAAGTAGTGCGAACCGTTGGGCTCATCACATGCCGATTTAAGCAGTGGCTGGGAACCACTGGATTTCTGTTTGGCCACATGGGCTAACTGCAGTTTTGCTTTAGGCTACATGCACAGCAAGTAGATGCGGTTATTTCAGTGTGGCACCTGAACCTGAAGCGACCATCAGTGGGAAAACAGTGGAGTCAGTGGACCAAGTGTTGCAGGAGCTTGATTACCCTTTGTCCGTGCACCCCGAATCCCAATCTCTGGGCTGTCAGGCCAGACAAGGACTCTCCTGTACGTGCGGAACCCAGCATCCAAGCTACGTTTCCCTGCATGTGTTTTCGAAGAGTAGCATTGACATGCAGCTCTTTCGTGAGCTGCTACTTGAAGCATGAGGAGCACGAGTTTGCAACACTTACTCTGAAGAGCAACTGGCTTCAGAGCTAAGCATCAAGCCCCGCACCCTGTATAGACTTTAAATTTAAGCGGTACAACCCTCATCCAAAAACCCTAAACCTTAAACCTTAAGCCTACGATCGTAAGCCCTGAACCCTAAATACGCAGGTACCGGTGCAGGCCTTCAAGTCGCGTGGGAACCATCCCATTCCTGTCACGACTGCTCGAGTCAACGCTGCTTGTCTCATCATTATTGACAGGGTTGGGCTTCAGCTGTTGCAGTTACGGAATAGGATCTAGTTTTGGAGAGAATGGGCATCCGTTTTGGGATCAAGTTCGTGGTTTGGGCATTGGCTTTTGCAGCTACTTTTAGAAAAGAATGGGCATCCATTTTGGGACCGGGTTTGTGGTTTCGGTTTTGCTGCTGACCAAGTGAGGAACCCTTTCAGGCTTAAGGTTTAGGAGCCTTCTTCCCGTAACCCTAAACCCCATACGGCGCTGGTAAGAAGTGCAACATTGTGGTATCATTTTTGGTAGTCCTCCTTAAAGCTTGCTTAATAATCCCTCGGCCAAAATTTTCAGGACCTGGTGATATCTGCAACTTATCAACCCTACCCCCTAAACCCTAAACCCGGAACCCTATAAACCCTAAACTCTAAACCGTGTATCCCCTTGCACCCCAGAGCCGTGGATCCGGAATCTAGCTTTGAGAGTGTGCTTTTATTCAGCCTCAATCCTCAACCTGATCGAAACGCTCACCCCTATACAACCAAGCCGGACTGCAGCGCTACCAACGTTTCAACCAAACACTGATAAAGGGCATTCCCAAGGCTGGAGGTGCTCAACGCGACCTGCGCTACCGTACTCAAGAGCAGACCATAGAGTTTTAGGTGTCAGAATCTGACGCGCGGGACAAGTCCTCACCATATCCCCCAAACCCTTCAATGCATGGAGTCCGTGGACCCCAACCCCACATGGCACACTTGTGATGTAACGTAAACTGTGCATGGATGGTGAAGCGCAAACATGAAGACGGCCATGGCCGAATCCCAGCGACATGGCCTTTCGACGACAATGGAATCACCATGCCTGCAGAAGCTGCTTCTATGAAGCAGAAGCAGCGACAATGGATTATGGATGGACTCCGAGCGTTGAAGGCTCCCTCTGCAACTCTGCTGATGATAGAATGAGAACTCTTGTCCCACCGTTGAACTCTGTGTAAACACGTGAACCAGCTTCTCTGTTTTGTCCGGGCATGCTAGGTGATTGCAATGATGGTTGCTCTCCTTTTCTCTATAGATGGTCTTTGCTGGGACACCCCGACAGACCATGTGGAGCTTTTCGCGGGGAAAATGTCCGTCACAAAAGGCGAGTGGGCTGAAGGACGTAGAGCTGTACCGTTTGAGATCAAATTGGATGCTAACAACATGGACATACTTAGCAGCGCCGGTTTTGCCAATGCGATGTTCCAAATTTGCAATCTAAAACCTGGATCCGGCTGCTTGTCAGCTCCTGTGTGCAGCTCCTGGGTTTTTATGAGCCGTGGGACTACATGTCGAACAAAAGCTAGGCCGTTGGGCCGAAGTGACAATGAAGGAGTACACAACGGGAACGTCATGACAGCTCGTGTTCTGATTCTGATGCTGCTTGCCTCAGCCAAAGGCATATTCTGGCTTCTCGAGCAGCCGGCTTCGAGCATCATGGAGCATCACCCCTGCTTCCAAGAAGTGCTTGGCATGGTACATCTCGTGAAAAAAACAATCTACATGCAAAACTACGGTGGCACATCCCCGAAGCCCACCATCCTCTACTCGAGACTCTCGCCTGATGTTGGCTTTCCTTTGCCTGCTCTACCCATAGTCGGGTTCAGGGTTTAAGGGCTGGTTCTTCGTTTTCAGGGGTCCGAACGGTAATTCTTGAGAACCCCCACCGGTAGAGGAAAGTATTGCTCCGGGACATAAACACAAACTCCCCAGACAGGGTCTTTATCCTGAAACTACATTTCTAAGGTGTTCCTCAGCCCAGCGCTAAGAACCCAAACCAAGGGAGCAACGCATGCCTCGAAACCTCTGCAGGCCACCAGGCAGTGGATGACTTGGTCCTCTTTCAAACCTCGCGGCAGAGTTCGCAACAAGAGCGGCCACAGACCTATGTCAGGTACAAGGGTGCTAACGGTAGAACCAACACTCGGGGTGGGTGTGATCTCAAGGCGACCCAGGCATATCCAGATGGGTTGCTCGGCCGTTGTGCAGTTGCGCACGTTCTGTAGTTTTCGGGTTGTATACTGGGTTTTGTCAACCAAGGTTTGGTGCAGCTCTGGCGAAAACCCGGACAATTCACAGCAGGGCGGTACGTGAGCAAGCCCAGAAGTTTCTCAAGAAAGCCCGGCGGCGCTCGACTAGAGAGCCTGCAAACACTTGCACGGAAACAAGCAAGAGGTGGTTGGAAATGGCGAACCTCCAGCCAGTGATCGATTTTCTGGCTAGCTAAAGAACCACGCGCTCGCTGTTTCATCTCGCGATAGAAAAGCCTTCGGGACAATATGTGGGGTCAAGGCCAGCAAGCTAATTCAGCCAAGTTCGGTTTCGAGGAGATGGTCGCTATCCAGAGACTCCAATATCCCTTAATTAAGCAATATACTGTAAATCATATTCGGAATCCTACTATAATTTAAGGTGTATTCCCTAATTAAGGCATATTGGAGTCTCGGGGTTTTGTTCCTTGTAGACATTGTCACCGAACTTCCTAAAAGCGAGTCATCGTCCTATATCCCGGCCCTGAGCACTTCTAGAGGTCCTACAGCCTACATAACCAAGCCCAGCATGAATCCTCAACCACGATACCGCGCCCGAGTCAATCCGAGACCCCGCTAATCGCATTCTCAGTGCTTTCCATGCAGTCGCTTCAGAGACTTCGGTGTCACCAGAAGAAACTTATTCAAACATCATCTTTTGCTAGAACCTATTCTCCTAAACCAGCCACCATAGGATCCCAAGTGGAATCTTTTAAAATGTTCGCCTTTAAAACTACCGACATGAAGAACCCCGCTCTTACTGAAACCACAGCAATGGCATTCTCGCCATGACGCTTGGACCCAGGCATCTTCGGAGACATGGGTCGACTCCTCCTCGGCGCGGCCAAGCGATCAGGCCAGATCTTTCTTGACGAGGTCTTAATTTTCGGGGATTGGGCTATGTCGAGAAGACAGGAGCCGAGGCCAGAAGTAGAAGTAGCTTTAAGGTTTTAAGGCCTCGGTGGGGTCTTAGTACCTCAGACTTTCAGGTTCTGACATGGTATCGATTCTATAGCCATGATTTCTGGATCTCGAGTGCAGCCACGCAGCACGCCTACAGGGCCTTTTGTCCCAATATTACACACTACTGTCTATCAGCATACTCACAAAACCTTTCCATCCGAATTTGTAGGAGTCGATGGTTCGCAAGCCTCACGCAAAGACAGCGTGCTGCATGGATTTCACCAACACGCGGGCATTGGTGTCTGTGCTGGGCAGGTTCCAAACCTACCTCGCTTACTTGAGATTATGGGTGTTTGCCATTTGGTCGCGCTTGGAGGAGGCTTTGACATCTATCGTAAGCCTGGAAGAACGCACCTTTAACACGCTCTTGAATCTCAACATGCACATCACCCGTGTCGAACAAAACATGGACGAGCGCATGGATGCCGTGGAAGAGCACTTTCCAAATATTCAACAACAGTTGCATATGCAGCATCGAACTTCATGGTTGACTTGGATTCTCCTCTTTCAGTGCTTGCGGTTGTTCTGGGAGCACCTCGTTGTGCCTCCTGCATCCTGCCGCATCGGCATGGAGTTTTGGCCTTGTACCTATAGAGGCTCCTGACCTTGTCTACCAAGGTTCGTCGTGGATCTAAAGCAGAGCCTATTGCAAAGGGACAAATAGAGTGCCAGTCCGATAGTACTTGTATTACATTCGGTACTAGAACAGGGGTTATAAGAGTAGTAGTAGTAGTAGTAGTAGTCGTCGTCGTCGTCGTCGTCGTCATCGTCGTCGTCGTAGGAGTAGGAGTATAGTAGTAGTAGTAGTAGTAGTAGTAGTAGTAGTAATAGTAGTAGTAGTAGTAGTAGTAGTAGTAGAAGTAGTAGTAGTAGTAGTAGAAGTAGTAGAAGTCGTCGTAGTAGTAGTAGTAGTAGTAGTAGTAGTATAGGAGCAGCAGCAAACTGGGGAAGACTGGGCTGCCCAAACTGGGGTGCCCAAACAGGGGTGCCCAAACAGGGGTGCCCAAACCGGGGTGCCCAAACCGGCGTGCCCAAACTGGGGCGCCCAAGCTGGGGCGCCCAAACTGTCTGCCCAATGCCCAAACTGGGCTGCCCAAACTGGCTGGGGTGCCCAAACTGGGGTGCCCAAACCGGGGTGCCCAAACTGGGGAGCGGGAGTAGTTGTAGTAGTAGTAGTAGTAGTAGTAGTAGTAGGAGTAGTAGTAGGAGTAGGAGTAGGAGTAGTGGCAGTAGTGCCAGTAGCAGCAGCAGTAGTAGTAGTAGAAGTAGTAGTAGGAGTAGTAGGAGTAGTAGTAGTAGTAGTAGTAGTAGTAGAAGTAGTAGAAGTAGTAGGAGTAGTAGTAGTAGTAGTAGTAGTCGTAGTAGTAGTCGTAGTAGTAGTAGTAGTACACCAGCATTTACCGAATTTAGCCTTTGCTTAAGCACCCACCAGCATTTACCAAATTTAGCTTTTGCTTAGGCACCCACCAGCATTTACCGAATTTAGCCTTTGCTTAAGCACCCACCAGCTGCAAAGGGACAAATAGAGTGCCAGTCCGATAGAACTTGTATTACATTCGGTACTAGAACAGGGGTTATAAGAGTAGTAGTAGTAGTAGTAGTCGTCGTCGTCGTCGTCGTCGTAGGAGTAGGAGTAGTAGTAGTAGTAGTAGTAGTAGTAGTAATAATAGTAGTAGTAGTAGTAGTAGTAGTACTAGTAGTAGTAGTAGTAGTAGTAGTAGAAGTAGTAGAAGTCGTCGTCGTCGTAGTAGTAGTAGTATAGGAGCAGCAGCAAACTGGGGAAGACTGGGCTGCCCAAACTGGGGTGCCCAAACTGGGGTGCCCAAACCGGGGTGCCCAAACAGGGGTGCCCAAACCGGGGTGCCCAAACCGGGGTGCCCAAACTGGGGCGCCCAAACTGGGGCGCCAAACTGTCTGCCCAATGCCCAAACTGGGCTGCCCAAACTGGCTGGGGTGCCCAAACCGGGGTGCCCAAACTGGGGAGCGGGAGTAGTAGTAGTAGTAGTAGTAGTAGTAGTAGTAGTAACAGTAGTAGTAGTAGTAGTAGTAGTAGTAGTAGTAGGAGTAGTAGTAGGAGGAGTAGGAGTAGGAGTAGGAGTAGGAGTAGGAGTAGGAGTAGGAGTAGGAGTAGGAGTAGGAGTAGGAGTAGTGGCAGTAGTGCCAGTAGCAGCAGCAGTAGTAGTAGCAGTAGAAG